TTCCTCGCAATGGATCTGGAATAAATCAGCAATGGGTCAAACCGGTTCAGAAAGTGTTTGAATAACTGCCCACGGAGTGGCCAGAGGTTCTCCATCAGCAGAGTATTTTGACTGCTGCTGTTCAATTACCATTTGAGAAAGCAGGACTGCTGGGAAAGACAACACAAGGTAAACCAACACTGGCTACAAAAGCAATCGGCGCACCAACATCCACACGGCACAGCCCGGCCCTCAGAGACGTTCCCAAAAGCAGCTTCACCTCACACTGCCCTGAGCCAGCACTGCTCCATGCAGCCAAAGGTAAGGGGCTGTCAGCAAACCAGGAGAGCCCCAAATACCTCATTTTATCTCTACAATAGAAACTGTAATTGACAAATCGTTATTTTACATTTATAAAATATATGATGAGGAACATACCACATACATTCTAGACTTTCTGTCTGCACTGGAAATCAACTGGGAAATTAGGAGGTATGGCGTAGAAACATCACTACAAATATACCGTATTACTGCTTTTGCAGCTGCAGTCCCAGAATTTGTTTCACAATAATTCAGTTACCCATGTTTAAACAACCAGCCAGCAGAAGAAAGGCTGATATATTTCATATGCATTCTCTTTGAGCAGGGGGGCCTACACGTCTGGTCGAAAAATGTCAGGCTCATATGACACCACCACAGTCAGGAGAGATGCCTAACCATAACTAAAAGCAGAATTTGGCCAACACAATTGGAAAATACCAGCAGAGTATATACAAATGCACACACGCAATCTCATATAAGAGCAGAGCATGAGACAGATTGGATTTTTTATTCACACCTTTAAAGAAAACAATATTTCATGTGCAGTCCTCTCACTGAGCTCCTACGTGGATCCTTTATCCCACTGCAACATAAACAGACACACCAGAGTCTGCAGTAGGGAAGAAAGATTTTTTTTTTCCCCATTGAGGATTTTAAACACAATTTGAAAAGCAAAAGAACAGACCTGGCCTGCCTTCCAAACTGACTTCAGTAACAGATAAACAGCATTAAGACTACAGTCAGCAAGTACATACATAAGCTTTACATTAATACACTCACCTATATTTTTAAGAGAGCTTCATTTTTCCTTTTTGTTCTCGGTTTCCTCTAGCATATAGTCCAGAAGAAAAACCCAGACATTTCTCCTGATTCACCAAAACCACGCTTTTACAATGAATATCCTAATGGTTTAGATATTATTCCTCAAAACTTCTTATCCAAAGGAAAGCAGCCTTTCTGTCAGCTTCAGTACCAATTTCTACAAGTTTTGTACCAGCTTTCTGAGATCATTCTATCAAACAAATCCTTCAGAAAAGAAGGATTTTAGCCTGCATGCTGCATGCAGTGCCTGACTTGAAGCTGCCATTCTCTTCTTCAAGAAAGAAGAAAGGTGCACTTCCTGGTAACACCTGAGGGCCTTGGTGCTTTGCAAAAACAGAGTGGATCTCACTATTGGCAAAGACACAACCAAACACAAATATTTGAAGGTATTACTAAAAAAACAGGATTCTGAAACAGCATTTTTAGCAAAATTAAACAGATAAACCTTGGTGCAAATTAAAAACAACTCTCTTGTATCTGAGCCCATAATGACTATTTTGAATACAGATTATTTACTGCTGGCAATAAAGAAGATTTTTGGTAATTTTTCTGTTATTGGGAAGAGCTTGAATACAATCCAGTCCAAAAAAAATGCTGACTTTCCTAAATAGGGGCTGTGTTTTTGCAGTAAATACTGGTCAATATACAAGTGGAGGAAAACTGAACCAGATGTCAGTAATAGGACCACAGAACGTTGCATTTGCCCAGAATCGCTATTTTAAACACATGATGTTGGTCTACTGGTTTGTGGGATAATACATTCTTGGCAGCCAGAAGGAGTTTCGATATGTTAGAAGGTTATCCTTGAGCAAAAGGAAAAAAAAAAGAAAAAAGGAAAAAGGAGAAGGGAGGTAAAGAAGGGCCACTAATTCATCAAGTTACCTACAGCAAAAAAAAATCACGACTTAAGAAATCAGTTCAAAGACAAGCCAGTCTCAGAAAGCTTGGGGTTCATATTAATTCTTGTTTTGTCTTTACCTCCTTAATATGAATACTTCATTCATCTTTCATTGCACTTTGCCTTCTTAGTTTTTTTTTAAGGATTCTTCCCTTCACTTGTTCCCAGTTTCTGGTGAGCTTCCACCTTGCAGCTCCAGCCAGCGCCGTCGGAGCGGTGTGGGGAAGCACCTGCACAGAGCCAGAGCACACAGACCCAGCACCAAGCACTTTTCCTGCTGGAAACCTTTGCTCACAGCAGGATCCTGCTGCCCTCACTGGCACTGCTGAAGGCAGCTGCCCCAAAATCCCTGAAGGCAGCCCTGGAAGCTGTAAGCACACAAGTAACAAGCCAGGTCCCTGTCCACTGGCAATTCAGTAGTTACCCATTTCTAAAATGCTTCCTAGCTCAGAGTCACAGGAGGTTCTGAGTGGTTCTTTGGTATGTTTTTTGGTTTTAGGGTTTTTTTCCCCCCCTTCTACTTAAGAAGCAGTTATATCTGCAAGTCTTCTTCATATTGAAATAAAACTTCAAACTGTACTTGGTATGTTTGGCCAATAAGCACTTCCCTGTTTTACCATGTAGTAAATTTAAAAGTCAACTCTGCTCATTGTCTTAACAAACCCTCCTCTGAAAGATAATTAAAACCACTTCCCAATATACAACCAAAGTTTTATTTTTATAGTCTATCTTCAATTATGGCATAATCCTTTCTTTTTTTTTTAACCAGTGAAATATACAAATCACACAAGACAGAAATATGTACATTAAATGTACAGAACAGAGGAAAGGACATAGAAGATTTACATATCTGAATGACAAAAGTAAAATATTTTACATTAAATAGGGTTTTAATAGCTAGGATCATGAGATTCATTCTGCTCAGACAGAAGTCACTAAAAAAGAACATGAGGTGGTTCAGCACATGAAAAAAAAAAGATAATGGTTTTTGTACAATAAAAACCAAAGTGACATATTCAATGAATTAGTGCTTTATTTATTTCTCTTACTTTAAAGATATTCTTTGCAAACATCTGAAAATGAGGGGTAAATATGTCCTTGTACAATAAATTAAGAGCAATAAAGCGCCATTAAGAAGCTGATAAATGATCAAGATGAATTTAATGATACAGCTTAAAGGCTTGTGAAAAGTCAAGGCTTTAGTACAACTAGGCTGAAGTGAAAGGTTTTCCTCAAGTGGTATCTGCAAAACCGTTTTCTTTAACTTGTAGGATGGGACTGAGCTGGAAAATGGCATCTGAACCAAAAATGAAATCCTGTGTAAGCACACAGCATGGGGGGAACACATATTGTTTGGCAAATAACAATTCTCTGTTCAAAAACTGAAAAGCAAGGGCCGAATGCAGCACATTTTGGAGTTGCAAGGTGTCTCCTTTCAGCAATAATCAATAATGCCCTTAATGTGAGAGTGGAATAGAAGCGATCTCCAGACTGGCATCGATTCAAGTGCAGGGTGCTGCCTCTACCAACCACCCAAGGAAGCCCTGAAACTGGGAAGAGGCTTACTGCTTTGTGATTACCCTTAAAACTTTTGAATGCTGGATGTTCTTAAAAATATAATAATTAAAAATAAAAACCCACCAAAAGCTTAGAATCAATCTAAACACCTGAAGAGATCTGAAAAAGAAAATAAGGGATGAACTGCCCCTTTAATTTAGATGTTTTATTATTTTCTAAATCATTAAAAATATATATGTACAAAAAGCTTTGAAGTATCAGACACCAGAGACCACAGTTCTCCCATATATATGTAACTGCTCGAGTATAGTCTGAACAGTTGTAGTGTATATCTGCAATATATTATCTAAAGCATGTGTATTAAAGACATAGGATGATAAATTTGGTATTGCTGCAACGTTTCATTGAACTATAATAGTCAGTTAATGTTATTAAAATACGAAACTATTGTCTCCTTGAGTGAAAGCGTTCCCAAAATCTGCAAAAAAAAATAAAAATCAATAATTCCAAGAGCAGATATCTAATGATTTATTTTCTCACATAAAATTAGAGGAGCTATTTGTCAAGCTGTGTTTTGAAAGACAGCCAGCTATTACACCATTTTAAGGCATTTTCAAATTTGGGGAACTCTCCTTTCCATGGGCTTTCCAGGCTGGGAAACCAGAGCTGTTTGTAAGCGTTGCCCAGCTCCAGTGCTGCGGGCAGCCTGCCCCGGGCTGCTCCACACCCGGCAGCAGGGAACTGCCGCTCCGCCACATGAGACACTCGCACGTCACAATTAGCTGATGAGGCCAAGCTCTGCCTTGAATAATATCTTTATTATTCACCAAGGCAGGCTTTTTTTTTTCTGTGTTTTTTTTTCCCTGTCTTGCTCAGTTCTGGAACCAGCCCTGGTGACTCAGGGATAGCGCAGTTGAAGCCTTTCTGATCCTTTGCTCTTTGCCCTCCGGTGACCCTTGGCAGGGAACCGACACTGCACTTTGTGATGAACATACCCCTTATTTACAGAGCCCTACATGCACTGAACAGCTTTATATACCCTATTCTAGGAACTTCTAGTGTCTGAAACTAAAAGTCATGGACAGGTCTGTGTGTTCCTCACATCCATAAGGATTGTTCTAACATCCCAAGCACATTACATGGTTGCTCTGCCTACTGCACATGTATTACGTTCCATGGACCTAGATTAGCATATGTCAGATTTTCCCCTCAAACTATTCTATTTGTAAGAAAAGTCAATTTTTTAACTTTGAAAAATAAATATTCTCAGATTCTCCTCCATTATTGCCAAAAATATAAGCCTCACACAGTTCTGGGATGGATGCAGAGAGGGTTTCCAGGCACTTCTCTTTGCAACCTTTATATTTTTCTCTTTTCTTTCATTTTTTTTTCCTTCCCCACCCTTTT